GCCTCGATTGACGAAATAGGGTCCGATGGCCTTCTCTTTATTAATTTGTCGGAGTTGTGTGTAATAATAAAACGCTCCTTAAAGCCGGGACGTGGCTTGACTGAGTGCTTTCTCAGGTCCTAATAAGGATCATTAACAGTGTATGAAAAGGTTTTATAAACATTTGTTAAACTCCCCGAGCTTATCGTGCCCATGGCTCGGGGCTCCCCGAGACGTCTCGGCCAGCTGGAGCCAGCTGGAGAGGGGACAACGCGGGGCCCAGGCTCCCGCTGGCACCTTCGGAGGCTCCCCCACTCCCAGGCACCCCCCGTCTGGCTGTGAAGTGACTCGGGGCTGCTCATCCAGGAGGGTCCTTGCTCTGAGGAGGACAATAAATACTGCTGAATGAGTGGGCGGCTAAGTGGGTGGGAAAAGAGCCGAGTCCACCACTTCTTAAATCTGAAATTTGGGCAATTCCTTTTACCTCTCCCAGCCTCCCACGCCTCACCTGTAAAGTAGAGATCATACACACTTCCCAGGTTTCTGGGAAAAGATTGGGTGAAATAAAAGACAGATAATGGGCTCCCAAATAGTCTCTCCCTCCCATCCTCTCCCTCCTCCTGTCTTCTCTGTCGTAGGGACTCCCTTCCCCATGGAAGCACGAGAGGAAGAAGGGATTGGGGTTGCAGGGATTCAGAGGAAAGAGAGGATGGAAGGACCCTCTCCTGGGGGAGGAAGAAGGTCTGGGGGTCAGTCTCCTGCTGCCCGTCAAACCATCCATATTAAGTTGTTCCCACTGTGCTCTGTGCAGTAATTACTTCCCAGAGCTTCCCAGTGTTCAAGAAAATGATCTTATATATCATAGTCTGCTGTTTATGGCCTTTTGGGCCATGGAAGAGGGTGGGCCTGGCAGGGCTGAGCAAGGCGGCTGGACAGCAGGAATCAGCCAGCACGGACTGGCCCGGAGCAGCCTGGCCGCCTCCCCAAGGGAGAAAGGAAAGAGAGGAGGCCACGGGGCTGGCAGGGTCCCACCTCTCTCCCACCTGCAGGATGGCTTGGCAGATTCTTCCTTGGTTGAGGAATCCTGTACCTCTCTCCGTGTCCCACACATGGTTTCCACGGAGGTCTGGACCACACCCCGGAACTGGCTGGTCCCCAAGATCCTTCAACCCTCAGCAGTCCCCTCCCTTCCCCAGCTCCCACACCTCTCTCACCCCTCAGCTGCTACTTCTTCGTTCCCGAGGAAACTCAATTATAAAACCACAAACAACACTGGTTTGCTTCTTTAAGCCGTGCGCACGTGTGGCCCATGCCCCGAGGCCGACCGAGTAAGAGTTTCCAACAGGACAGCCAGGGAGGAAGGGTGTGGTGGGGGCCGGGGTTGGGGGACCAGTACAGAGACAGACCCGTGGGCTGGGAGTGTTTGCAGAGGAAAGTCTTTATCAGAAGTGACCCTGGTGAAGCTGAAGCTGGAGCTGGGGCTGGTGGGGTGTGTGCGTGTGCACATGTGTGAGTATGTGTGTACGCACAATGCACGCTTGGGAAATAGTGCAGATGGGAGTCGGGGAACACATCTAGATTCACTGACCACGTTCCCAGGACCACTGTTCACCAGAAACTGTGCCAGGCTCATTGACAGCCATCTGACCACAGCGCTTCACCCCAGTCACTCTGAGAGGGGCACACTCCCTTTATTCTCATCTTGCACACAAGGAGAGTGAGGCTTCAGAGGTTAGTGTCTTGCCCCACAACACGCTGCCAGACACCTCAGCTGGAAATCCTGCCTCTGTGCTCCCACCTTGACCTGCCTGCACGCTGGTTCCAGTCACACAGCATTCAGGGGGCCATGCTGTGCTCTGGTGTCCGCCTCTGGCCCTTCACACTCAGGGCTGCATCTTCTTTGCCCTCGTTGCACTGGTAGGTGGTATGGGTCCTGAAATGCGGGAGGGAGTCAATAAAATCTGATGGACCCATAAGCAATCGTACTCAGTCCCCCCAGAGCAGATGGGGGTGCTCTGTGGGGATGGGACTGGCTGCTCTGATGGTCTAACTGTATCAAAACTTCATTCCAGCGGGATTCGGGGCTCCAAATTGGGCCCCCACCAGAATCACCTGCACAGTCCCACTTGCTCAGTCTGCCCTGGGGTCCTGGAATGCATATGTAAATGAGCCCCCCCCCAGGGGATCATGACACCAGCCTGGCTTGGGGACCACTATGCACGCCTTGCTTTGTTTTTCCCAAGGAGTGCTGAGTGTAAGGGTGAGAGAAGGTTCTAGATGACTTAGTCTCAAGAGAGGGAGAAAAAGCAACCAACACCACTATCAGCTGAGAACCTCGCAGTCAGGACTCATGGACAGATGGGGAAGCCTGGCCCTGAGAGGGGACAGGCTCACACAGTGGGTGGGGGCAGAGCTAAACTGAGCCTCAGTTTTTTGTCACCTGGACTCTCAGCCCAGTCTTGGCAGCTAGAATCAAAGTTTGAGGAGGGAGCGTGTGGATGGCGTGGAGGAAGAGGAGGGACGGGGGAGGCGGGTATGAGACTACATAATGCTGTTGGCTTTTGCTATGAAACCACTAGCTGCCTCACTTAGTTAAATTTATTTCATGTTTTCCTCCTTCAGTCAGCCAAGCACGCTCAACCTCAGGCATCTCTCGTGAAGCTAGAAAGAAGGACAGGAAAGAGTTATAAGATTCTCTTTCAAAAGGAAAAGAAAAAAAAAATCCTCCCATCTCTTTAGCTCCCTCCCCTTCCCTTAAGGGCAAAATATGGATCGGAGATGTTTTTAGTTGCAACGTTTCCTTGCAGCTCCTATGCCTGTTTGTCTAGCTCCTCGCGGGCGCTGCGAATTTACAGCTTGGCATCGCTGGAAGTAGCTTCAGGGAGAAAGATGGTGGAATTTTAGTCTTGCTAATTTAAAACAATAATAATTGTTCACGCGTTAGGAAGCATTCCTATTAAATCAATCCAATCTTTCAGAACAACTGCAATAGAATGAAGCCAAATTTCCTGATAGGGCCTCTGTTGGCTTTGTGACATTCACTGATTCATCCTGCCTTTTGTTAGCAAACGGTGGCTGGTGGCTGAGGGATGACCATGGGCCAGTCCTATGCTAGGCACCATGTGTGGGGAAAGGGGAGACGGCAAAGAATGAAGCGGTGATCCCTGGACATGAGTGTGATGTGATTATTCTCATGGGGACGAGGACAGGGGTATAAACCACGGTAACATGGTTACAGCTATGGTTCTGGGAACCAACGGGGCTCCCCTTGGTGACTGGACACCTGCTGATGTCTTTTACTGGCATTGGGTATCCAGGAGGAGGGTAAGTTCTGGAGAAAGGTTGGGGGTTCACTTGGGCAGGTTTGTGTTTGGCAGGCAGTGATCTGGGGTGAACATGATGGAATCAAGTCCAGGATGGGGGTGGGAACTGGCTTAAGATGAACCAAGACTTGAGTCAGACAGGAGGTGGGTAGGGGTTTGGCTCCTCAGAGAAGTCCAGGCAGGGAAACTGAGAATCAGGCTGAAAGGGGAGAAGAAAGTGGGTAATGGGCATTCATCTCCAGTTGGAGAACAAACCCCAGGGGTCTGGTAGGGATGAGGAAAGCAGCCAGAATTGCTGGGTGGTCTGTGTCAAGGAGAGAGGTTGAGCTCAAGGCTGTGTCTGTGCTGAGAGCTGGCCTTTATTGTAATTCCTTGTACATGCTGTGGGGTAGACCAGATGCCTGCATGCAACCAGGACCCACACAGGGCTGCATCTGAGGGCCTGTGAGTCACTCAGGAGGAGGTATTCGAGTTGGGGGGTGGTAATTGGGTGGAACAATCTGCATTCTAGAAGGAAGGTCTCAGCTAGCGTGGAGGAAATCTACAGCATCCTCAGAGATGCCACTGCATAAGGGGTGGTGCTGGGCTCTTTGAGGTGGGGATGCCAGGGCAGAAGAGGCTGGCCAGGGGGACCTGGAACTGGACACCTCTATGGCAGGAGGGCCTCCTTGCCAGAGGTGGGTCCTGGTTTGCCAGAGGCGGTCCTGGTTTTTGCCTGTGTTCTGTATAGACATGAACAGTGCCCCCTCACAGTCCTAAAGACCCAGTTTGGAAGATAATTGATGCTGTTTATATTATCACACCATCTAAAACAAACCCAGCATTTTGTGGGCCTGCCCATCAGACTGCCAACGAGGCTTTGCCTTAAAGAACCTCTCTGCCTCCTCTTCCAGTGCCTACCTCTGTTAGCTCGGTAACCTCTGCCTTTCTGAACCTCAGTTTTGCAAAATGGCCATCACATAAATAACGCAAGTGTCCATTTCTCAGAGTTGTTGTGACACTGACAAGGATGAGAAAGATCTTTGTAAGTTCTCACGGCTCTTTAGGAGACTGTAACATCTCTCTGTCTCTCTCTGTCTCTCTCCATCTCTCTGTCTCTGTCTTTCTCGCTCTCTTGAAATCAGGTCACTACATCTTTGAGACAGGGAAAGCGTGATGACTATTCTGGGACCAGAAACGTGATGATTTCTCTTTCGCGTTTCTGCCCTCTTTCTTCTTTGTCCTGAAGATTCCTGAGGCTCTGCAGAGCCACAGAGTGAAGACTTCAGGAACTCAGCTTAAGGTGTCTGGCTTGGGGGGACAGATGACTGGGCTTCAGGGGGTGGGAACAGCAGTGATCACACTTGTGCCCTGTGAGAGTATTTCCCCCTTCAGGTCTAGAAGAAAGCCTGAAACCATTTCTGCCAAAAAACTGCATAGGCTCCGTGAGCAGCGAGGCAAGACATTTGGAAAGAGGGAGGTAGAAGTCATGCTTGCTTTGGCTGTTCAGATCCAGGGGGACGTTGCATTGACTCAGGATGATAATGAGACTTGAATCCATGGCAATCTCGGTGTGTTGAAGAAACAGGGATGTTTGGCCTGAAGAAGACTTAGAGACCAAGGATTTACAATCTTCTAAGAAAGGAGGCGTTCCCCTTTCTAGAGCTGATGTGATGTGAACCAGGTGGCCCAAGGAGGTAGTAAGTTCCCCATGGGAATGGGAGCAGGAATTGCCGAACTACTTGGCAAGGATGTGGAGAAGCAACAAGGCACGTGTTGGACAGTTGACTTTTAAAGTCCCTTCTAGGCCTGGGCTTCTGGGACTCTCCCAACACCAGCCTCCACTTTCGGCAGCCAGCTGCCTTCTGGATGAGTCGAAAGCCTGTCCAGCTCTGGCCTCCTTGCTGGGTGGGGCTCCAAGGGAGCCGCCAAGGCCTCCCACTCCTGCCATACAGGGCCACCGCACTCACCGCCTCTGGGGTGCCTCTTGCAGCCACCACCCGCCTGGAGTCAAGAACTGAATAAATTGGTTAAATAAGGAAAAGACAAAAACTACACACACACGCACACGCACACAAAGAGAGGGAGACTTAGTCTGTCTGAAATGAGAAATGCTGTCTTGCTTTGGCCTTTTATCATAAGCCCATGGAGATGAATATTCTGACCTAATAATCAAAACAGGCTGTAATTGCAAACAGACTCTCAAGGCTGCACGGCCAAGGAGAGAGCAGATGAGATACCCGCTGAGCACAGCAGGCCGGGCCCCACCAGCCCTCCTCCCAGCCTCGGCGGATCGATGTGGCCAGCCAGCCACACACCATTTCGCTGGCCTGGCTTGATGGAGCCCTGTTCACATTCTGCCTTCCTCCAGGGACCTGAGGCTCCCTTTGCAGGGGAACCTGCTCAGAGGAAGCCAGCCCCTGCTCCCAACCTGAGATAAACATGATGAAATACCCAGCAGCGTCCTGCGAGACCACAGGGAGGAGGGAAGGAGGCTGTGCTCCCCCCTCTCCCCAGCTCCACCTCCTCTTGGCTCTGGGAGATGTTCTCCTGGGTGCGCCACCAAAGCTGGAAGGTCTTTGTGTCCCCTCCCTGCTCCCGCCTCCTTTTTGTGTTTTGTTTCAGACACACCCTCAGCTCAAATTTGCTTTGAAGGTCAGTGATTGCCACTCCTTTTCAAAACAACTTCCCAGCTCTTCTGGGACCCAAATGTTGATTCTCTGTGCTGAGGAATGAGGCTCCCTCGACAACAAGTACATTCCAGAAATATCCATCCAACATCTTCAATGGGCAAGACATCCAGAGAGACCAAAGATGATCCAGGCCTGGGCCTTGCACCCAGGGCACTCCCTCCGGTGAGGATCCAACCGTTGATGGAGGACCAGGGGCCTGTCTGAGCCTTCCTTAGGAGTCATGGGAACCCTGAGGAAAGTGTGCTTCCACTAGATGGGTTGAGGTAGTAAAGGATTTTGAGTTAAGTTTTGAAGGAGAGGAGGATGGATAAGACGAGTTGATTGGGAGTGGTCTACCAGGCAAATGGAACAGCTTGGGCAAAGAGGCTGGACAGCTGAGGGTGTTTTTGAGGACAGTGTGGTGGTCTGTTGTGGCTGGTGCCTGGAGTCTGGGGTTCACTGATGGTGGGGCCTGTGTGAAGAGATGAAGCCGGAAAGGTACGTGGATTGAGGCCACATTGTGATGGGTTTTGAAGAGCTGCTCAGGAGCTTAACTTCAACCCCAAAGGATCAGGGGCCCCTGGAGAGTGAGAAGCAGAGCTGAGATATAGAGACGGCCTTCTGGTGGTGACTTAGGGGATGGAAAGTAGAGGGAGAGAGTGGACACAGAGAACCCAGGAAGGGGTCAAGAATCCAGGTGAACAGAAACGCAAGTCTGGCTCAGAGCTATGGTGCCGGGAAGGAAGAGGAGCAGAGTCTGGGCATGGTTTCTTCTTGAAAAGATCCTAGCTGGGTCAGGGTCTTTGCTTGGATGCAGGGTGGATTGTCAAAGGATCATCAGGTTGGTGGCATCAGGTACTAAAGACCAATGTCATGACTCCATATTTTTGTATCTTTTCATTTTGGAATCACTTTAGATTCACAAAAAGTTGCAAAGATAGTAGAGAGTGGTCCCTTCCCCAAGCTTCCTCCCCAGTGGAAACGTCTTGCAGAATTATGGTACGACATCAAAAGAGACCAATGCTGTTTGACCTTCAAACCCATCCAACCCCTACCTGGAGAGCTTGTGCGTATCAACTGTGGCTTCTCTGAAGCACAGACCTGCTCCAGAAGATGGAGAGTTTAGACAAATTGGACAAGACAAGAGGCCTCAGGAGGGTCAGCCCCATCAACAGACAGTCCTGGAACTAGTTAAGTAGATTTTGTCTCAGAATCTGCAGGGCTGGGGTGAGCTGTGTTGACTCAGAAATCCTGCATCAGTTTCCCTTCTTGTCACTCCAGGTCCTGGCTGAGCTGGGCTCCTCGCTCTGAACCCCAGCTTGTCTGTTTGAGTGGTGCCTCTTCTGTCTGTCTTACACCAGTCACAGCTCGGAGGGATGCTACCTGCCCCCACCCCAAATCCAGACTCTCTCCAGAGACTACCCAGAGTGCAGCATCATTGCCCAGAACCCCTAGGGGCCACCTTGCCATCTGAGATCCAAGGCCAAGATGGTGCATCCTCCTGAGCTGTGTACGAGGTCCTCCAGGGTCCTACCTGCTCACAGATCTCCCAGCCTAGCCCTTCTCCAGTTCCCTCGCCCCACAGAGGACTGGCCTGCTGAGAAGACAGCCCCTCTAGCACCAGGTAACTCTGCTGTCTTGGAGCTCTTCACCAGGGCAGATGCGGTAAAGGCTGGATGCGTCCTGGGCTGGGAGGCAGGGCACCCGGCCCCTGGGCTGGCCCATCACTGATTTTCCACATGACTCCAGGCAAATGACTAAACCCTCTCCTGGGAACAGTCTCAGCACTAATCCCAGGTGATCAGGACCCACAAGAAGTTATTGACATGAACAAGTTTTGGAAAGAAAAGCGCTATAAAAATTACAGACAGTCAGTCGGGCGTTAATTCCCTCTCACAGTTTGAGTCCTACTGATCACTTGCTTTACCGGTGAAGGATAATTAGCAATGAAACCATTTGTGGAGCTTCTACCATATTCTAAGTGCATTACAAATACCCCAGAGCTAGGGATCTTACAGGAGAAGGGACCAAGGCTCAGAGACAGAGCAGACGCTTCTTTCAACCAACTCTGCAAAGCCCTCGCCATGGGCAGTGTGTTACCGCGGACTCTGGGGTTTCAGACCAACCCTATCCTCACCTACCTAGAGTCATGACCGCACGCCAGAGATGCCCCAACCCCAGACTGTCTGCATCCAAAGCCAGTGCCCACCTCTATCCCCACCCGTGCCTTGCTCACTTGCTCTTTGTGGACAAGTTTTTCCTGAGATAAATCAGGGACCTAAAAGGACTGCCTCCTGATCTCTTCCCAAACACACAGTAGAGTCCATGTCTGTAGACGGCCCTCCTGGAATTATTTACACTAAGCTGGGGAGGGCCCTGGCTCTCCCACCTCAAGCGCAGCTTCCGCCCTTGATGGTCACCAGGCATCCCACTGTCCTTCTGCTCTGGTCTCTCCCCTACATTCTGGCTGACGTTGGGTTGGCGTTTCCTCCATTCTAGAGGCTTCCATAGTTCCCTAGTTCCTGTTGACATCAGCTGGACTCCTCAGCCAGTGTCTCAGTCCTCCTCATCTTACCCCAGCACCTCCCCGCCCACCACTCCTCCGTCCCTGTGCAGATCGTGTGGCCGGCATGGGTCTCTCTGTGTCAGCAGGAGTTTTTCGCAGGGTCTGGGGTCTGGGCTGTCTTCATTCCTCCCTCACTGGGGTCCAGGATCCACCCTTTCCCTGGCTGCTGGGCACTCTGTGCCGTAGGACTTTTCTAAGCTACTTGGATGGGGAAGAGGAATGAGATATCTTGGAGCTAGAATCAAATCAAGCAGGGCCTTGGATCATGACTATATTTTACCAGTTTCTGTCTCTCTGGAAATGGTGTTTTCCTATGAGGAGAAGCATTTCATAACTGAGGCACCCACCTCAGCCAGAAGCTTGCCAGTCGGGGCCCAGGAAGGCAGATGCAGTGTGACCTGGGGCTGGGGGTGGGGTGCAGGGAGAGGTAATAGCTCTTAAAACACCTGCAGAGCTGAAGGTCCCACAGAGGGCATTCAACCCTCCTTTACCAAGTGCCTCCTGGGGTGCCAGGCTGGGACGCCACTCCTAGGAGTCCAGAAAACACCCTGAAAGGCCTGGGGAAAAAGAAAATGACTCCAGCTTTGTTTCCTCCCCTTCTCGGCCGTCCCCTGTCTCACTGTCTTCAGAAACAATAACTGGGAGGCTTCTCTCTTAAAGGGAAACTGAGGGAGGCCCCCAAAGAAAAGCGCTGATGTTTTGTCACACTGGGAGTTCTTGCATGGAGGCCCCTGGTTCATGTGTTTATTTGCTCATGGACTCAGGGACTCATTCAGCCGAGCAGCAGGTCTGTACCGAGAGCTCACCGAGTGCCAGGCAGCATCCGGAGCTGCGGGTGAGCAGTACGGAGCCAGGTGGAGGAGGCTGTGCTCTGATGGGGTTCCAAGTCCCCACTCCATTTATTATCGCCTCAGGATGCTGTGGACCAGCATCCCGATGGCCCCTCCTGAGACTTTGCCCGAGTCCCTCCTGTCTCCTGGGGTGAGACCCAGCCCGCCTCCCTGGCCCCCACAAGCCCTTGCTCTCCTCGCCTCCACTTCCTTGCCTGGCTCCTGACCTGGCTCTGTCCTCCCTCGGGCCTTGGCAGAGCCAGCAGCCAGACAGGTTGCCCGGGTTGGGATGACATTCCTGGTGGCATCACATGGGATCAGCCTGCAGCTGCTTTCACTAGGTCCTGGGAGGGCCTCCCAGCTTCCCCGTATCCCAGGTGCATGACTCATCCATCCCCGGAGCATCCCTTCATTCGAGCGACACTTAGGAACGCCTGCTGTGTGCTGGGCGCCACACTCAGGGTTGGCTATGTCCGGGACTTCTGCTTCACTGCCTTGGTAACATCTTCTGATCTCCAAATGACCTGTCAGCATGTCTCCCTGTGTCGCCCTTACTATTGATCTCTGTATCGTTAACACCTGGGCCCGAGGACCCACAACAAACATTTGTTAACCAAGTGAATGAGGACCTTTGGGAAGGGCTCCTTAAAGAATAAACATTTGAGCTGGGTCTTGAAGAGGGTAGGAGTTTCCTGGGTGAATAAAGATCTGGGAAAAGCCATTCCAGGACAGGACACAGTCTGCACAAAGGCTTGGGGGAGTCAGAGAAAGAGCTGGGGTCCCAGGGGCCTGGGGAGGGGTTCCACATTGTTACAGGCGAGAAGAGCACACCCTGGGGGCAAAGCTGCAGGTGAGACTGACGGTAAAGGGGGAGCGAGTCAGAGAATCTGACCAGCCTTGAAGGATGCTGGGGGGTTTAGACTTTCACCTGATAGAGGTCAGTGGTGATTTTTGAGAAAGGGAATGACAGCATTTTATTTGTTTATTTTTTAGGTCAGTTACTGTGGGGGTGAGTGGAACGTGGACTCAAGGGAGAATGACTGAGAAACAGAGAATATTGGGAAGGCTTTTGTGATAGCCTCTTAAAAATACATATTTAATGAAGCTCCAAATAGTGATAAAGGAGCAGCTAACCTAAATATACACCCTGATGGGGAGAGCAATGGATTTTCCAATTATTCTGTTGTTTACCTAGAATCAAAGCGGCTGCCTTCTCGGAGGGACTCACCTGCAATTCTCGTGGTCACACTCGTGAATATTAACTCAGCTTTTCTTTTTGCTCTATAAAAATAATCTGATTTTCTCATGGTCTGTCCATGCAGCCATCAGAATATAATTATTCCGAAAAACAGTCTCAGCCTTGTTTATCAGATGGCACCTCGGCTTTCCTGGATAAATGAGAACTAGATTTTTGTTAAGCAAAGCTGTATACAATCTCTGTTGCACAATTAGGTGGACACGTTTAGCATACCTGCCAGGGGAAAAAAAAAGACCTTAGGGGCTGCGAAGCTTGCCAGGCGTATTTATGCACGTTAGAGGTGTCATGCTATTCCCAGAACCCTTCTCTGTTTTGAAGGCAGTGGAGACTGGAAGTGAAGTCTCTGCGGTCTGTGTGTATTGTCGGCACCTGACGTGAGGCGTTAACAATCCAGCGAAAGGACACTGAAAACATGCACACATGTACCCCGAGCATATACACACACACACACGCACACACATGCAGGCATGCATCCACACGGCACACAAGTGCACACACATTCACACACTACGGCCTGGAACTAAACATCAGGCTGACGATTCGACCTCTAGGATAGCGTAGCTGGAAAGGATTTTGAAATCATCTCAGTGATGTTACAGGTAAGGGAATTTGCTGCAGCCCAGAGAGGGGTAGAGTGGCAGTTACTCAGCAAAGGGAAGGCCGTCAACGGAATGGGAACCACAGCGGCCAAACCCAACTCCAGCAGGCGCACAACCGAGACCATTTCCTATAGCAAAGTGTTCCTTCCAGACTGTGCCCTCAAAAGAGCTGAGCTGTCTTCTGCAGGGCCTCAGTCTCAGCTGAGAATACCCACTTCAGACAATGACAGCTGTATTACAACTCGTGTTTACTGCAAGGAGCCGGACACGTCCTCAGAACTGGTTTTTATACAGGCTGGATTCCATTCCACCCATCTAGTTCCTCAGGATTGGTAAAACATGTGGATTAAAACTTCCCCGGCGAATCGTGTCCCCATGTTCTGAGTCTCTTCTGGATTAACACCCTTGTCAGGCAGGCAACTGTGACTTCCTGGAGTCTAGTCCTTTGGGGGTCTGTTTCCATTTAGCTCCTATAAACATCCCTGCCTCTTTCTCCTTCTCCCTTGTCAGATAGATGTGGGGAGGAATTACCGTTCTCTGCTGGTGTTCCACCAGCGGGACTTCCCCGAACACCTGCTGTGCACAAGCTCGCCTGGGTGGACGCTGGGAGAGATGCTACGGAGGACAGTGTGGGCTCAGCACGTAGGCGCTAGCTGACAAATGTCACAGTTTCCTGGAAATCAGGGAACGCCTTTTATCGTTCATTCATCCATTTCTTAATTATTTTATCAAAAGTACGATCTACTTTAGGATTTTCATATGAACACCTATTGAACTCTTGCCACATGGCAGACAAATGACCCCATAGGTGTCTTTTCCTACATAACATCGTTTTGTTCTTACACACAGCCTAGGAGCGGGTCATTTTCGTTACTGTCATTTTTCAGATGCAATGCCTGCATGCATTTCGCTTCAGGTTACACAGCAGGCAATGGCAGAGATGCAGCTCACTGCCGAAGACACTATGTGGTGTGTCCTGGAGGTGGGTGGCCTTTGAGTTGGACCTGGAAGGATTTGGAAAAGTAGAGAAAAGAGGATGGAGCTTTGTAGAAGAGAGAGGAGACTTGCACATGCAGGCAAGGGGAAGAGTGTGTCTGTCATGACTCTTTGTTGCAAACAACAGGATGCGACTCCAGCTAATTCGGGTTGAAAAAGGAAATGAGAACCAGGCACAGAAGCTAGGCTGACTCACTCACTGATATGTCCATCCTGAATGTGCTACCAGCTCATGGTCCAGTGGGAGGCCCCCTGGACTGAAAAGGGCTGGTCTCCACGGAGCTGCAGCAGAGGCTGGCATCTGCAAGAGCCGGGGCACCATCTATGGGCCCAGCTCACGTGCACAGCAGATCAGAGCCACTCATGCTGCCAGGGCCCAGCCCTCGGGTTCCATCAGTGGAAGACCTGGGTTTCTGGATCTTGGACCCTGGGCAGGCCTGGAGGCTTCTCTGTTGGGGGGATACTTGAGGTGAGTCTGAAAGGAAGAAGGATATTCCAGGGGAAGGGGGCTGGATGGGAAGGACATTCAAGCAGACTGAGGTCCTTGAGTGTAGAGGATGGAGAAGCAGCTGCTTCTGCCGCTGCCTTCCCATCACAGCCTCTCTGTGCCTCAGT